TACGCGCCGAGCCGCTCGTGGCCGCCCCGCGTCGCGTCGATGAGGTCCTCCTGGTCGTAGTGGTCGCAGAGGACCGTCGCCGGGAGGGCCAAAACCTGGGCCGCGATGAGGCGCGCGGCCTTTGAGAGGAGCTCGAGCTCCTTGGCGCACGCGCTCGGGCCCGGCCCCCCGAAGTGGCGGTGGTCGCAGACGGACGCGGCGATGGCCGCGGCGTCGCGCGTGAGGACGACGACGCGCAGCTGGCCGTGCGCCCCCAGGGCCGTCGCGAGGAACCCCATCTCGGGCATCTGCTCGGGCTTGCGGGGACCGCCGTAGTTCGGGTAGCTCTGCTCGCCTTTTTCGAATTTTTCGCAGTTTGGGTTTACTTTCTTTTGCAGCGAGGCCAAGCAGAGGATCGTCATGTTGCTTCGGCGATATTCTTCGACGAGGTCCGGCTTCCGCCCTGTTCCCATGGTATTGAGCACGCGGAGCGCTCGCGACCCGGTGGCGGCCTCGCGAGCGGCCGCGGCCGCGGCCGCGCGCACCGCGAATCGCGCGGCGTCCGGCTTTTTCTTGATCTGCGCGATCACCCACTGCCACTCGAAAACCCCGACGTCAGAGCTTTCACACTCTCCCGCCTTTTTGCATTTGCCGAAGAAACTCGTGAACCAGTGGTGGCCCGTCCCCTCGACGCCGGCGACGAAGACGTAGGGCGCCAAGGGATCCTTCTTGCTCGCGGCGACGAAGAGGGACGCGGTCACGGTAACGACGAGAGCGCGCAGCATGGTCGGGTCGCGTGGTGAGCCGGTCGCCACGCAGATGCCGAGCGCTCGCCAGTGAGAGTTGTGGCCGAGCGACGACTGTGGCCAAGGCGACGACTGTCGGCCTCGAGGCCGCGTGTGATGCGATGGTGGGCAGCCATGCTCTGGCTCGTCGACGACGGCGCCGCCGGAGAAGCGTTCCGGAACTTACCCGTGGAGCTCGAGCGCGCTCGCGGCGTCGCCCGCGCGTCGAGCTCATGCGTCGAGCTTCGCCTCCGAAGACGCGCCGCGCGCGCGGCAGGCGGCGGCCGCGCCTTCCTGCGCTTCGTTGAGCGCGGCGACGAGCGCGTCGCGCTCCGGGTGCGGCGGCTCCGGCTTGGACGGCGCGTGGCCCGCGTTCGTCGCCGCCGCGAAGGTCGGCGCGTCGATTTCGAGGTACGCGCCGAGCCGCTCGTGGCCGCCCCGCGTCGCGTCGATGAGGTCCTCCTGGTCGTAGTGGTCGCAGAGGACCGTCGCCGGGAGGGCCAAAACCTGGGCCGCGATGAGGCGCGCGGCCTTTGAGAGGAGCTCGAGCTCCTTGGCGCACGCGCTCGGGCCCGGCCCCCCGAAGTGGCGGTGGTCGCAGACGGACGCGGCGATGGCCGCGGCGTCGCGCGTGAGGACGACGACGCGCAGCTGGCCGTGCGCCCCCAGGGCCGTCGCGAGGAACCCCATCTCGGGCATCTGCTCGGGTTTGTGGGGGCCGCCGTAGTTCGGGTAGCTCTGCTCGCCGTCCGTAAATTTTCCGCAGTTTGGGTTTACTTTCTTTTGCAGCGAGGCCGAGCAGATGATCGTGATGTTGCTTCGGCGATATTCTTCGA